AAAGTGACCTGAGATGACATGATGTGAATTGGAGCTATAGAAATAAACTGAATAGAATTAAATAGACCACAATAGAATGATTTTAATTTTAAGGTGGTAAATCAGGCAAGTGTGAAACGGGCTCTCTAGTGGGATTACTATTGCAAAGCACCATTTTTTTCTACCTTTAAACACAACAAATCTTGCAGAAACACTTTATTGTTTCTCGGTGTATAAATCATTTCTTATACCTTTTACAGCACCTGGTGTTTGGCATCAAGTCCTTCATAGCGTACCTCATTCCGGACATGCCGAAGGACCTATGTGATTGCATGAGGAGGGAGAAGTACCTGATGCAGGAGATGATGTACGAAGCCGAACTAGAGCATCTCCAGAAAGAGCGAAAGAAAAACGGGAGACGTTATCACCATGAGTGGCCTTAGCCTGAGCTCCCTCCGATGTGTCCACAGCTCATCACTCAGCTCACAGGCACAACCTGCCCCCCCACACACACACTGCTTATTTACATATTTCAGCTTCGAGGGTCTAGCTTTGCACTGCTGATAGATTCTCTACACCAAAGACATCCAGTTGAGATCCTCTTCCCTTGTTGTTTTCTCCTCTCCTCTCTATAATCCGTCACCCAGCTCAATCCAGCCGGTTGCCCTTGGATCTGTGCCCTGTCATGGCTTCTCTGGGGAAAACCTTTGCAATTGTAATGTTTACTATGCAGATCAGGGGCTGCAGATCACCCTTGCTCACTCTCAGCCCCAAGCCCTGCAGCCTCTCTCTCTGTGTGGCAGCTAGCACTTTGCTTTGACTCTGCATGGCAGCGTGTTTCCTTCTCTCTATCGTCGCCTTCAGCAGAGATCCATATGTGTGGCACTTGACGTTTACCTGTTGCCGAGTGATTCTGGTGATGTGGCTACCAAAAAAAACAACAAAAAAACTGACACTGCTCTTATAAAATAACTGTATATCACTGTTAAAGCATGTTCCCTGACATTCAGAGGCACTTCATGGACTGTAAGGAAAAGAACTTGATTCAGATCACTTGTGAAGGGTGTTTACATCCATTCTGTGACTTTGATGAACAAATGTATAAAGTGCATGGTGACACCGTTTTCTACCTTTTTGATAGACGAACTCCTTGTGCTGCTGCCTGGTTTATGTGAGCGAGTCGTGTGTTTATCTCTGTGCTTCTAGTTTGACCGTGTTGAGTTGAGAAAATGCAAACTTAGCAAAGCTTGATTGTGCCTACGGTGTAAAAACATCAGCATCATTTGTGGCCACTCTCATCCATTTTGTACGTTTTTAATTCTTCTTTTTATTTAGGAAGTATGCTGGTAAAGATTCTCAGTCATCCAGGTCATAATCATTCCAAAAAAGTAAAAAAAAGAAAAGAAAAAAAACCCATTGGACTTTGTTTCCAAGACGTTTCTCTTCCCATCCTGTTAAAGACTAGCCTGACGTAGTCCTACTCAATTCTAGTCAGAATGAGTCTGATGCTGCTCCATAGAGCTGTGATTATGGGGCGTGTTTCGAAC